ATGAAGCAATATATTGTGGTTCTCATTTTATATGAGAAACGAGGTAGAAGGGAAATTGTACAAGTGTTTTACCATTTTTAAGATGCAATATTTGTATTGCTAGTGAATGCAAATGAAATAAGAAACACAATTTTTTGTATCAGGTAGGAGTGCAAATCATAGCTTCAAACAAGTAGGCATGAACTTTGTATTTTATTCAGACTTTCATTACAAAAAAAAAAGGTTGTAGTCACTTGAATTTTCATTAAATGATTATAAAAATTAGTTTATGTAATTTTAATGTACATTGTTAGATTAGAATTATCAAATAATTTATCATAAGTTCAACTCATGTTAGTTTTCAGTTTGTTTTTACCGTTTTTCAAGATGCATTAACGTGTAGCAGAGATTATGTATATCTATTAGGAGTTTAGATCTACTGACCACAATACACTAGCCACATCTTATACATAAGACATTATAGTTGCACATCATAATATCTCATTGTGAATGACAAGTAAATACAAGAGAATAATTACACATCATAACATCTCCTCGTGAGTCATGAATGACAACTAAATACAAGAGTTGTTCTTGATGAGTGAATATGAGGTTTTGTACATAGCCATTGGCTCCATATGTCTTAATAGTAACAAATTCACTAAGGGTACCAACAAATGTGTTAAGTGTGTAATTGTATCTGTTGAGTTAAAAGTATTTAATAAAATGTTATGAAAAATAAAGCATGGATAAAATGATTGGGTGGTTGTCAACTATCTTGAATCAATTTGCAACTCTCCAGAAAAGAAGTTTGCTACTAAGAGCTTATAGAATAAAGCATCGAAATTTAAGTGGTCTACAATGCTTTTATGTTTTAGGAGTTAATATAAATCATATGCATGAGATACACTTTATAAGCTCAAACTTAACAAATCTTGGTTAACCAAATTTTAGAGACCAAATAGATAGTATTGGGTATAGTTTTTAAGTGTTCCTATACTTTAAAAAGTAATCAATTTAAGTACCTTGAGACCAATATGAACCCAACCTTTCTCAACTTGATCCCACCTAAACAATACATATATGCATCTTATTATTTTACATATTTTCGATCCATGATGCTCTTATCATCATCATTCATACCTTATCCCAACTATATGGGGTTATCTATATGAATCCCATCTCTAAAGGATTGGACACCATTAACAAGAATGTAGCATTCTCCTTTCATTTTTTTCAACTGTAAAAAAAAAAAAAACAAAAGATAATAAGTAAAATATAGGTTTGATTACCCATTTCAACTCAGAGGAAAAACAAAAGGGGGTAAGAAACATTGAACAAGAGTGTAGCATTTCCCCTCTCCATTAACATCAACCAAGAAATATAAAGCATTTCCCATTTTGGTATAGCTACACTTGTTTGATATTTATTGTAATATCTCCTTAACATTGACATGTTTTAAAACATGAAACCTAATAAAGTATGACAAACATATTCTCATGCAATCAACAACACCTATATACCTTTGTAACAACTAAAAGTAGAGAAGCAGGATGAGAGAAAATTCACATTGCAAGGGCACTTGTAGCTTCTTGTAGAAAAGCAAGGCCATTAGGAACTTGCCTAATAATATCTCTTGCAACTGCCTAAACTTCTTGATGTATTAATAAACTTAAATTGTAATGATTTATATCTTTGGTTAATGAAAAAATGGACATGGCTCTATTTGGTGACTCGTTTTAAATAATTTCTACCTCTTACTGAAGAATATTCATTTCAACTAAAGAAATATATAGATAAGTATTTAAGTGGTTTCTCTATAACTTCTCTATAATTGGAGAAAAAAAGGCTCATTCTAGATGGTTTCCTCATTGGCATTGGCATGAGAAGGGTTAGGGTTTTTTCTCCCTTGTTTCTTGTCTTTGTAATATTAAAACTTATATTCTCAATTTCTTTTACACTTAAATTAAAAATGAGAGGGTGCATAATGGAAGGGACAACTAGGGTATAATGACCTTGCACATGTGAGATCAAATGCTTTGTATGGCTGATGTGTAAAAGGTTGAATGGAATAGCACCCTAGCTTGCACCAAGGTGATTGCAATGGACCCAAAGTCTCCTTTTTGAGGATGCTAAGTTACTATCTCAATTTCTGTATTATCGATGCCATGAATTGTATTTAATTTTGCTTTTTCTTTCCATGGTATTTATCCTCCATTAGCCAATTGAGGAGTGGCTCAATTGGTACATTAGCTAGTTTGTTCCAATAAAGGCATAGATTCAATTATTGCAACCATCGACTTTGGGGAGGGGGTTATTAGTGTGGTGTTATACTATTCAAACAACCTCTATGGGGGGGATCTGGGTGTAAAACCAAAATACAAAAAAAAAATCTCACTCTCTCTAATGTGCTCTATACTGGTTTATGTACTTTTTAAATGATGTAATTGGTGTGGTATAATTCGTATAGATGGGCACTGAGAAATTCCATAAATTTGGCCAAAACTACATGAATTGGGTATTGCCAAGTCTTATCTTTTTACTTTATTGATGCAATCCTTGCTCATCGGTTGGTATTGGGCTAGCATGACTTAAACCATAATCTTGTTTTTCGAGCATAATAATAACTAATAAATCGATTAAAAAAGTTACCCTTAGCTATGTTTGCAAACAATTTAGAATTTGGAACCAAAACTTGGTTGTCAATATTGGTTACAAGGTTGGCTCCAAGGTATATTCATGAAACCAATTATTAAAAAATATATAATAATATGTTGTCATTGCCTCTTTTTTTTCCAAAGCTTTGACCTTGGATAACAACCTATCAAAAGCATTATACATTTTAAATCCACATAGTCATTCAATTTTAAAGAAAATATAACGTAATCCAAAAACAACCTAAGTAATATCACATAATCACTACTAATTCATAATCTAAACTTTTACACACATTCAACATTCTATATCTATATCTATACTATTATAAAAATTATAATAGTATAGACACATTTGGAATTTTTCTTGTTTAAAATGTTCATATTTGTGTATTTAGTACATCTTTAATTATGAGGGTTGAAAAGGTAATTCCAGTTAATGTTTTTCACCTCATTTACCCCATTTCATTAAGCCTTATATTTAAGGTATTAACTTCCATTATCTCTTATTAAATCATATATTTAAGTTATTTTTCACTAATAAATGATACTAATTAGATCTATGTTCAGTATTTTTAACAATATAAACCCGCATATTTTAAAACTTTTAAAGGCAAAACCTATCTTTATCCAAGCAATGACCAACCAATTCAACCATCTGAATCAAATTGGTCAATCCATGAAAAATTAGACAAATTTTATAATATTTTTATTAATCAAATTTAAAAAGTTAGTGTAACAAACAATACTTATTTTTATTGATGATGAAAATGAAACACATAATTTAAAACTAACAAAAAGTGAAATTATTTTCCTTCTTAGCAAAGATCAATAGTTCAACTTTTGGGTCAAATGTGTTGAACTTTAATGTTATAATTAAATAAAAAAAATAATAAAATATAAAAACACAAGAAAGAAAAAATACATAAATTTTACACAAAATATTTGGGCATATGTATAATATCGTATATTTGTCATGTTAAACAAAAATAAGTGTATATAGTAGAATTATTTTTACACATATATATAGAATGATAGAAATGAAAAAGTACAGAAAATTTGAACAAATCTATAATTCTATATTTACACTAATACTAAAAATATGAATAAGATTGTAAAACTTTATTTTGACTAAAATACCTTTTATTTGAATTTAATCCATATTTAATTGTGAGGCTTAAAATGTAATTTAAACTATTACTTTTCATCTCATTTAATTCTCTCTCTTTAAATCTTATATTCTCTTTAATAAATGAACAATAAAAAGATGCACTAAGAAGATAAAACATTACAAAATTAAAAGAAGAGTCTAGCTAAGCAGGTAAGCTTGTAGATGATATCCAAAACTTTGTAGCCCAATATGAGGTGTTTACATAATTAAATTCCAATTTTGCAATGTGCATTCAATAAATAATAGGAAACAAAAATATAGAAAAATACATTAATCTTATAGGAAAAATTGGATACATTATTAATATCATTATCATGATATAGTATTGCCATGTGTGAAGTCGTACTAGTCTACTTAAATGCAGAACCAATACAAATAGAACACAATCAACCATCAACCCAAAACAATACAACACAATTAACCCATAACCCATCATTCAAATTTGTATGGTCAAATTATACATATTGAAATTGGATCCTACCCGATAACAGATTGACTTGACATACAATTGACTTCGGGTAGAACCGACCCATTTGCTACCATGTTTTTTTAGCAAATGGGTCATTAGTCAGGTTAGTGGATTTTTTTTCTCACAAAATTGGTTTTCACAGCCCTTGCAGTCGTGTATTGAGAACTTGAGGACTTCTCCCTATCCCATTAAAATGTTCCTAATGTGCGGCTGCCATTAGGGGTGTCATTGGATTGGATTTGGTCCAATCCGATCCAGTCCAATGTGAGTCCATTATAAATGGATCAGGTCCAATCCAATCCAATGAATATTTTGGATCAATTTGGACCGGTCCAATTCAATGTCTAGACCATCCAATCAGTTCAAATTCATTTTGATTTAAATTGGTTTCAACCCAAACCCGATCCATGAACACATATATTCTTATCTTATATCAAGGGACCAGATATTGGCTTAATCCAACCCATTCCAATATAAATTTATTACGGATGGACCAGGTCCACAATCTAATAAATATTTTGGACCAGATTGGTCCAATCCAATATTTCTTGTTGGTCCGTCCAATCCGCCCAAATTCATTTTGTACTGGACGGGGTCAAATCCAAAATCGGTCCATTGACACCCTTAGCTGCGGTGCCTGTGAAGCGGGTGTGTGGACCAATTTTGTTACGAGTAAATGTAAACCCAATAAACTCACATCCAAAAATTTCAAATCCAAATAAAGCGGGAAAAATAAGGAAAAGTGCAAAACCGAGCCTCCAGCCGGGCTTAGCTAAGTGGACAATCTTCTCCGGAGACCAGACGCACAGACAGCGCTTTTCATCTCTTTCTGTCGCTGTTGCGAAGTGGAGCCTCTCGCTCCGATGGCGGAGAAGAAGCCCCTGAGTCTCAACGATCGCCACAGTCGCCTTCTCGAAGACTTGTCTTCCCACCGCCAACCACCCAAACCCTCCCAGGATCCGGAGCAACCTCGCAAGGTCAAACTAGAGGGTCGACGTCGACTCTGCAAGCTCTCGTCGACTTCGAGAGATGACGACGATGAAACTGTGTTCGATGCACCTAGTTTTGCAGGAATCACGGATTTTGATTCCCCGCCTGCAAAGAACGCCACCGAGAGTGTCCCCAGCTGTGGTTACGAATTCAGGGGTTTTGATTCTCCACCCGGAAAAACCGTTGCCAATGACGCTGCCGGCGGTGGAAACGAGATTAGAGACATACTCAACGAGTTAAGCTCTAGACTTGAATATCTATCGATTGAGAAGAGAAAACAAATCCCTAAAACGGCTGAATCAATTGAAGGAGATGAAGTGCCCAAGAAACAGGAGGACGTTTCCGTTGTTCCTGAATACGCCAATGCTTCTTCCCCATTCCCTCTCTCATCTGACCCGTCCGGTTCCTCGTCGGACGCTGTTACTCAGTTTAAGGATGCAAAGAATGTTGAGGAGAAGGCGGAGAAACCAGCAGAAAATCCCAGTGATGCGGGGAATTTAAAGAGCAAACCAGTCAGTGATAATCTTGCTGGTAGGGTAAGAATTTTAAAGAACGCTAGTAGAGAACACATGCGGCATTCGCTGGTTCCCTACGACGACGATGAAGACGATGATAATGATGATTGTGTAGTTTTAAGCAGCAATGAAGCGGCTAAAGATGTAAAGCATGCTGCTTCTATTGTTAGGGAAGAAGTTAGCAATGCCGTCTCGGTTGATTTCTCCGAAGATTATACTGACGGTTCAGTTGCCGAGGGTGACGAGATGGATTCTATCACTTTGAGTGGGGCGAGCTCCACATACAGGTTGCCTGGTAAAATTGCAAAAATGCTGTATCCGCATCAGCGCGATGGTTTGAAATGGTTGTGGTCGCTTCATTGCCGGAGAACTGGTGGAATTTTAGGGGATGATATGGGTTTAGGAAAAACAATGCAGGTAAAATATGGGGATTGTTTTTCATAAGAACGATTACTTCTCAAATCTCACTGTTGTATCCCGTGTTTTCTGTACTGGTTCATACATGACTGATTAGTTTTGTACTTTGACACAACATTTTACAAATCCTGCAACTCGAGAATTAAGCTTTGTAATTATGTATTATATATTGTTCTATTTATTCTTATAATTAGTTTGATATGCAATTATCCCTTTATTAAATTATAGATGCAATGCAATGCCCTCAATATCATCTTAAATCATGAATTGATAGCTGACTTACTTATGGGTATACAGTATATTGCAAATATATATGTGTGTGTGTGTTTATTACACTTGGGATTTGTAATGCAAGGAAGAAAAAAAAAACCTTGGGAGTTTCTGAAGCTCAGTCAACTTGTTCTTGGCTTCTTGCCTTGAAAGTTTCGAACTATTTACTATAGACAACCTCAGAATTTTCCTACTAGATAATTAGTTGAGAAATTTTGGGAATACCTATCCACCCCCCCGCCCAAAGAAAAAAAGGGAATACTTCCTCTTCCATGTCAAGATTGAAAGCAAATCGACTCAACTTTGCAGGTATCTTGTGATTTTCATTTGTGAATGTAAATACATACATATTTATTCACATTTTGGTTAAGCAGGCTGATGCAACCACATCTGAAAGGCTGTTAATCTGTTGTTAATCAAGATATAGCTAACTTAAGCCTGCTGCAACATATAAACAAGTTACTAGAAAGTGAATGATTGTGAAAAGATTGCCATACTCCTTTTTCTTGAGGGTCTATTTTTTAGTTGGGGTGGTGATGGTGATCTATGCAATGCTAAGTAATTCTTCTGTTGCATCAATATTTGATGAGATCTGTGGTGGGCCTTGAGATACTTCTTCAATTGGTATCAATTATTTTTCTTTTTGGCTACCATCTACCATGGCAGAATCATCCATGCCATTTGATGGGTGCACTGGAATTTTGATATTCAAACATATCCCACCATGCTCCACTCTTGTTTATCTAGGGAATCCATTTTTTGATAATTTGCAGTTTGGATCTTATAGATGATTTTTTTTAACAATTTTACATGCATGGACCTATTTCCTCCCTCCTTTCTCTCATTTGTCAGACCATTTTCAGATGTGCAGCTTTTTAGCAGGGCTTTTTCACTCAGGTTTGATTAGGAGGGCATTGATTGTGGCCCCCAAGACGCTTCTCTCTCATTGGATCAAAGAACTATCAGCTGTGGGGCTTTCTGAGAAGACGAGAGAGTTAGACTTTTTCTTTAACTCTTGTTTTCCCCTTTCTAATATCATCTATTTTCATTTATTGGTTATTTCTTTCCCTTTTCATGCAGTTACTTTGGGGCTTGCGCAAAACTACGTGAATATGAACTTCAATATATACTCCAGGTTTAAATTATCTTCTTAGAAAACAAAAATAAAGTTGTTTAATTAGTCATGAATTAGTTAAAGTCTATGTGGAGATTTACTGATATAAAAAGAAATACTCTGGATGTACAGTGGAAGCTTTTTCCAAATGGTACTACTTATATTATTCGCATGGTTTACTGTCTATGCTTGTATGAATTTCATATTGAACAATGAACACTTTTTTTTGAAAAGTGTGTAATTGTACTAAAAGGAGAAGGAGCTTCTATTGGAGCAAAAACATTTACAAGTACATGCTATCTGTACCAATCCAGTGTCTAGCTCTATACATGACAATATAGACAAAAACAAAAATTCAGAAGACGCACTACATCAATGTCGGACAATATAGCTTCTTTCATAGATGCTCTGTTCTTGGAGATCTTAATGTTTTGTTCCTTCTGCAAAATCTGGAACATTGTGAGAGGAACTAAGTTCCAGAGAATAAACCCCACTGGCTGAAACCTTGAGCAGGCCAGGTTCATAGCAGATAGTGAGGGTCTTGTGGAAATGGCCCTTGTGTTCCATGTTCCTGTTGGGGTGGGCTGAAGCACAGGGCTTCTGTCTCTCTGAGGTGGGACCTGCACAGACATACTATGAGCTATGTTTGGTGAAAAATCTGGAGAGCCCAAATTGGCTGTCAGTCAGTCATTTGAAGGGCTGTCCACTTCAGCCTCTTTGAATAGTTTGTCTGGAGCGCTTCAAAGCAGCTGATCCATCTTAGCTGTATGCCTGTATCTTCAGTTCAGTGCTCCCAAATGGGCCCTAAATAACTGGGGGAAATGAGTCCAGATGCTATAGGAGAAGTTGGAATGGATGAGTAAGTGCCCGGCAGATTCATTTTGATTCTTGCAGAAATGGCAGGTAATTTCCAACTGCATACCCCCAGTGATTAGCTAACCTATAGTTGGGATCTTCTCCAGTGTTGCCCAGATGAAAAAGTCACTTTGGAAGCAGCCTTGGCTATCCAAATCCAATCCCAAGGCGCTCCTGTTGAGGCAAAGCATCATGATGGGACTTTACTGTAAAGATTCCTGATTTTTCTAATTTCTACCTTCCACCACATTGCTGAAAGAATGAGTTGAATCTGACTGATGCAGTCAAGCATCTAAGTTAATCTTCCAGATTCTCAATCAAACATATTTCTTCTCATCCTTGGAGCCCAGACCACCCTGCTTCCTACCACCTCACAATTATCCTTGGTTGTTGTCTCCTTGTCATCTGTGAAGCTGAATGGCTCTGGGAAATATTTCACAAAAGGGCCTTGCACCATACAAGCAATCCTTCCAAAAATTTAATAGTGAATATGTTATTTGTGATATTAGGTTCTTTATCTCGTGCTTGTTGATATTTCCATGTTTTATCATAGGATGACATGCATACGAATTTGCTTTCTCTCTTGTAGGACAAAGGTGTTCTCCTCACCACATATGATATTCTGAGGAACAATACAAAATCCTTAATTGGGGATAGTTATTTTCATGATGAGAGAAGTGAAGACAACATTACATGGGACTACATTATACTTGATGAAGTAAGTGTAAATTTGATTCTTTTCTATTTTCAGTTGGAAATTTGGTGAAATCCATACTGAATTTGAATTTATTGAATCTCATGATTCTACTAGCCATATGATGTGGCACTTTGACTCTGTAATATGAGTTGTATATATACATGTATGTATGCATGCCAGCCTCAGTTTGTGCTAGTACATATGCACACACTATGCAGTGTGTATGTATGTGTGAATGAATGGATAGTGCATGCATGCATTCTCAGTGCTATGTAGAGAGATGTTATTAAGAAGTAACTTAAGATTGCATATTAAGAGTGAAAGAGTATGTGCTTGTAAACTGATTATTTAATAAAAAATAAAACTGTATGAAAAAATTCTTTCACCTAAATAGGTGAACAAGGGGGCTGAAAGATATTCTATAAAGGGCAGAGTAGGGAAGGTGATGGTCTAAGCAGTTGGGCATTCCAATTATCATTGTCTACAGTGAAGGTTTAGTATCAAGAGAGGTATTCCTTTGTGGCTGTTTCATCAGTAGTTTTGAAGACATATCTAGAACCCCTTTAAGGATTAGTCTTGCTTTGGTAAACCAATAGTGAAGATATTGAATGGGTATTCCTTTTTTTTCATCTTTTTGTTTGAAATGGAAGCGGTGGAAGTCCCATCTTACCATTGTTTGATCTTGAATGATTATAGACTTTGACTTGACATGTGGGATCTTCTTTTTGGTATAATGAAGATTCTGATGTCTACGTAATATAATTTTTGGGGTTCCTTTGGATGTTTTCTGTAGATTGACCTTTTGCAAATTAGTAGAGTATTGAATGGATTTATCATGGTTGCTGATGGGAACCTAAACTTGTCTGTCGAATTCTTTATAAGTGTTCATTTGGCGGGTAGGACACTGGGTAGATACCCAAAACATTGGACTTGGTTGTAACTATGGAATCCTTTGGATAGTGGACTAGTGGTTGCCAACCTGAAACAACCATCCTTCTTTATTATAAACTATAAAGGAAGATTGATTTACTAAATGATCAAATAATACTAATTTACCATTTATGCCCAAACTTTATTCTGAATTTGAGGTTCTTTGGTAACATATTATAGATGTTTTAGATAGGGGTGCAACTCTTGTTGGCCCAAGTTAGCATTATATACTGCTTTGGGCAGGGCCCATTCAAATTTTGACAAAAGCCCAACCTGAGCCTGTCCAACTTGCACCCATAGTTTTTGTAGGATTTCAAGACTGCTATTCAGTCTTGATCACTAAGAGATTTCTGGTTCGATGAGAAGAGAATGTGAAGAAGAAGTAGAAGAAAGAGTGGTGAAAGAGCAATAGAACACAGTTTTTGAGGAGAACAGAATGTCAATATTCTGCCGCCGCCACTTTTAAGTTAATATATATAGGTTATGCTAGTTACATGA